AACGGCAAGGTCAGCAGTTCAAAACCACCAGGGGCTCAGTGGGAGAAAGATGAAGCTTTCTACTCCTGCAGAGAGTTAGAGTCTTGGAAACCCACCGGGGCAGTTCTACCCTGTCCTCTGGGGTCCCTGTGAGTCGGTATCGACTCGAGGCAACGAGTTTGGTTTGGGTTTTGCTGCTGGAGGCTGGAAGCTGAGGCTGAGGTGTGGGCCAGGTGGCCTCCTTCCGGAGGTGTTGGGGCCAACCTGCCGCCCGTGCCCATGTCCTCCCTTTGGGGGGGAGAGGGGGAGGCAGTCCTGGGCATGCCCTGGTCACAGGACATTCTTCCCAGTGGGCACCTGGGTCTCTTCTCCTGTAATGAGGGCACTCGCCGTGTTGGATGAGGTCCCACCCAGCTCAGATGTGACGCCATCTGAAAGGAGTCCTGGTGGTGCAGCGGCTTAAGCATTGTGCTGAACACAAGGTTGTGGTAGGTGCTCCATCGTCATCCCCCCCGCTCCCAGGATTAGGACTTGAAGGTCTTTTGGGGGAAGACACAAACCCACCCCTAACGGACACCCGTTTTCCCATTGCTGTGTGTGTGGGGGTGGGGGGGTGTCAGGTTGGGGTGTAAGTGGTTTGCTTGGGGAAACCTGCTACGTTTGTGGAAAGCAGTCTCCAGAAGACTGCTGAGGTCCTTGAAGCAGCTGACCCGAAGCCTGAGCGTCTGTCCTGCCTACCCCAGGTGACCGAGTTGGGAGACCACTGGGTGACATGTGTCTGCCCTCCTTTGTGTCCTGGATAGCTGTAGACCCACCTCCCCAGACCTCCAGACCAAGGCTTCTTAGCCGACAGTGCCCCAGCGCCTGGAAGCACACCTGTGTGGCATAGCTGGCTGTTTTCTGCTCCAGGGCCAGGAGGGTATGCATCCGTGTGGGTGACTCCAGCGGCCCCCACTTACTGTCCCCCTTGTCACAGAAAGGCAGGGACTTCTTTGCATGATTCCAGCATGAGGGAAATGAGACTTTAATTCCCAATCAATGATGATCGGTTATACTGTGTGCCACAGGGTACAGCTGCCCCTCCCCCTGGACTCCTAGCTGTCATCTTGATGGGGGCCAGGTTTTGTTTCCTGCAGGGAGGAGGGGTGGCTTTGAGCTGCCGACCTTAAAGTTAGCAGCTGAGCGCTTAACCTTTGTACCACCAGGGTTTCTCCGTGATAAGCATTGGGCCAGGAGGGTTTACAACCTTGGCACAGTTGACCTTCCCACCTGGCTGTTCCAGTGCACGGGAGAATGTTCAGTTCTGTTCCAGTGCATGGGAGAATGTTCT